TAAACAGATTCTGTCACAAAGTCCCCCTCCATCCCCCTCATAGAGCAGAAGATTCTATCAAATCTTTCTGTGCCATGCTGCTGGGGGACAGCCCCTCCCAATTGTCCTGGACACTCTGTTATCAAGTCCTCTCTTTCCCAGTCACAGCAGCCCAGCACTCCTGAACCTTCCTTCAAGACTACATGGGTGGAGCATCTACACCCTCCACACTGAGAAGGGAGGGAGAGGACCCAGGCTTGGCTGTGGCTCTGTTTGCCAGGGTGGGCCGGGCAGGAGTGGGTGCAGTTCTTTTGACAATTCTCCCACTGGGCTGCCATTTTTTTTCTCTTTAACTAAGGAAGCTGAGGCATAGGAGTCAGAAACTTTCCCAGGACCCAGCTGATTGGTAGTAGAGTATCATTCACGTCCATCCCAGGATGCCTCCCAGTCACTGTACTGTCCCCACCTCCCAGTCCTAAAAGGCTTCATTGTTTCAGCTTCATCAGGTATGAGCCTGATCTTAGTCCATGTCCAATAACATGTGAACGTATGGATGTGGCTGTGTTCCAATAAAGTTTTATTTACAAAAACAGGCGTGCCCATTGGATGCAGCCAGCAGACTGTCCTCTGCCAGCCCACGAGGGAGCTGGACTGTGTATTCAATGTTGTGTCTGCCTTCCCCATGTTTTACAATATCACTGCTCCATGGTGTATGCCCCAAAGTTTTTCTCTTCAGTATATTCCTAGGATGGCAATTTTGGGGTGAGATGGAGACAAGCGTCTACCCAGGATCCTAGTGTGTGAATCTGAATAGTTTCTCTTGTGTCTTTGAACTTCCTGGATTGTCATCTGGAATGGGAAGAAGGAGACCAAGCGTACAGGACGGTCATGAGGCTTCAGAGTGGTCCCTTATTCTGGGGCTTTGCATAGTGCTTGTCATGTGTCTTCGTTAAGTTGAATGTCTTTAAATCCCAAGGCCTTGGGAACAAAGAAGAATAGATAATAGAGTATCTTTAAAGAGAGGCTACTATAGATCAGTGTCTACCATATAGGAATGAATGAATGAATGAATGAATGAATGAGCAAGGGAATGGAGCTTTGAGGCCAACAGCTCCAGCTCTTCTTGTGTTAGTTTTGTGATCTTGAACACGTGCCTCCCTTTCTGTGGTCCAACCTCTTTGTAATATGGGTGAAATGAGCAGTATATCAGCACGCTTTCACTGAAGAGGAAACTGAGGCACAGGCATTGAGGTTGCCTAGGGTCTCGCTGATGGTATATGCTCAGATCAGGGTGCCCACCTGCAGGGTCCTCACGATGCTGGAGCCACATGGATGGAAGCTTCTGGTTCAGTGAATGTTCGCTCCTTCCCGTGAGCAGGCCAGCCAACCTCTGTGCCTTGGAGGAGGAAACTGAAGACAGAGAAGATATGCAGCCACATCAGAGATTGGCAGGCCGGGAGGTGGCTGCTCACCAACTGTTGTTTGCCAACTCGAACACTTAATAGAAACTACCTGTGTGGGTTCCCTGGGGAGCAACTGTCCAGAGGGCCACTCCCCAAGCTGTCACCCCACCTCCACAGAGCCCCATCTACACTGAGTGCCAAGTAGAGAATTTGCCTTTCACTGCAGCCTGAGAGGCTGAGAGCTGAGAGGATGGTACCTGGGCTATTGGCAATCCTTGGCAAAGGACCCAAAGCCATGGAAGGAGCACTTAGCTTAGCATGAGCCTACATGGGATAAACTCTACCAGCCACCTGCTGCAGATCTTGTTGAGCTCATTGTCACCATCACTGTGGACATTTAACCTACCCAGCATTCCCTTCAGGGTGGACCTGAGTGTCCTCGCTTTACATTTGAGAAAGCTGAGGCAAATTTACAGCTACGGAGTAACAGGCTGATGGGATGAGGGCTTGAATTTAGATACCTGGCTGTAACCTGTGATCCTAACCAGCAGCTAGACAGGGGACAGAATGCAGCTTGGGGAAGAGGAAGGGCTTTTAGAGCTGATCTGGCATGGAGCCAGGTAGTGGGGGCCCGCTGTGGCCCAGCACCACTCAGCTGTGCTTGCATAGGCACTCACTTCTTCCTAGGGAGCATTTCATCCAGCCAGACACCTAATGTGGGTTTATCAGAGACCCGACAGGGGTCGGCCTGTGCTAACCACAAGAGACACATTGTTAGTCGCAATAGTTGTACCTAAGCCTTCCTGGGTGTCAGCTGATCTTTAAGGCACTGTGCATGGATTAGCTCATTTAATCCTCACATCAACTCCATTGACAAACATCACTGTCTTTCCTTTGTAGATGAGATCATGGCACAGAGAAATAGCCTCGCATCCCATAACTGCTCCACATGAGAGCCAGGCCTGGGGATCCGGTGGGAGCTCTGTACACTTACATAACTACCCATGCCCTGCTCAGGATTTCCCTGCCCTGATGTAACTTAGGTTCTTCCTTTTAAAGTAGACATGTTACAATAACACCCAAAGGGTTATAATCCAATCCTATGCTGTGCAGAGCAACTGGGCAATGAGAGTGTGATATGCTTGGTATCATGGAACTAGCAGAGTCAAGGCCTTGCATAGAAGCTTGGACCATGTTGTACCATGGCCTTCACTGCTCTGTACCATTTGGCAAAATTTGTCACCCCTCTGAGCCTCAATTTCTTTATTTACAAAATGGATTGTTGGTGCCTATTCTATCTGCCTCCAAGCATTTTTATAGAGCCTAAATGAGTTAGCAGATGGGAACAAGATTTCAACGTAGGGGAAAAAAACAGTGGGCAAGGGCTGGCTACGGAGCCAATGTGAAAACTTAGTGTCAGTTTGATAAATGAATTGTCCTAGTGGCCCTGCAGATTGACTCTGTGAGTGACAAATGGCTCCCTTCAGGAGCTCTGTTGATGTCTTTAGGGTCCTGAAAAGGCTGTTATCCTTGGCCAAGGCCTGTGCTCCCATTCCTAGAGTTATTTTGCATCTGATTTTGTATGATCCTCCAACAGTCTTTAACCAATCATTTAGTGAAGTCTTTACAAGAGAGGCCTTGTGTTCAGCCCTGCAGGGAGAAAGAGATGAGACTGGAATTGTTTCTGCCTCCAGAAGCTGGCGGTGAAAAGAGCTGTAACAGTGCTAACAGCATCAGAAGCTACTGGGCATTTACCTGACAGTCACAGGTTCTATGAGTTAACACTCCAAAACTGTTAAGTAACTGACCCCAAGTTCATGTAGATCTGAAGTTACAGAACCAGGCTTACACCTTAAAAAAGAATGTGGGAGTAAAGACAACACCATCACAACACAGGGACATGCATCCTAATAGAGAGGAGGTGGTGGTGGTGGTGGTGGTGGTGGTGGTGGTGGTGGTGAGGGTTGATGGTAGTCTGCTGTTGCTGTTGTTGATATGATGCCAATGAGAACAATGCTGATAACAAGAACAGTGGTGATAAGATGATGGCGATAGTGGTGGTGGTGCTGATGATGGTACTGATGGTAGTGATGATGGTACTGATGGTAGTGATGATGGTACTGATGGTAGTGATGATGGTGATGAGCATCAGGACTGTGACAGCAGTGCTGTTGCTGTTGATGGTGATAATGTATTCACGATGGTGACAGTGATGGTGGTGAAGACGGTGGTTATGTAGTAGTGGTAATGGTGATGGCAGTGCTGCTGTAGATGGTGACGACGTTCACAGCAGTCTTTGAAATGGCAGTGGTGGAAATGATACTGGTGAGATGACGGCGATGGTGTAGTGAGGACAGGGACAGTGTTGGTATAATGATGGTGGTGAGAGTGACATCACTGGTAATGATAGTGGTGATGATGACATGAATAATGGTGAAATGACAATAGTAGTGATAATGATGGCAGTGATGACGGTGATGGTGGTGGTGGTGGTGGTGGTGGTGGTGGTAATGACGTGATCATATAAATAATGGTAATAAAATAACGGTGGTGAGGATAATCCTGTTTATCATTTGTTGTTTGTTGAGCTTCTGCTCTGGGCCAGGCCCTGAGCACTTTCCACCATCTCATTTAATTCCCATAACACCTTTCACTTACTCCTAAGGATGATGAGCTGGGGAAAGAACACAGCCTGTCCAAGGGTATGTGACCCGTTTGAGTGGGTCTTGAGTATCAGTGGGCTTCACTGAAGAGTTGCTCTTTCTGTCCTTGGATCCCTGACCAATGGGCTATGTGTCTGGCAGCTGAATGAATTTCCAATGGGTAACTGGAGATGGCATAGCTCAAATCCATGAGAAGTGAGTGGTGTCCTGGTGAGTGTGCATGTAACCATTGTTCAGAGCTGCGTGGGAACGTTGTGACTGCCCAGATACAAGTTAATGGCAAAGGGTTGTGTTGCTGTTTTTTTTTTTTTTTTTCTCAATGAGATGCTAAGTGCTCAGTCACCAACAGGAGGAGCTTTGAAAAATAAAATATGTGCTGACAATGGCAGCGGCATCCACTATCCTGTGCAACATGTTCAAAGTGCTTTACCCAGTGACAGGCATGGTGGTCCTATGAGGGAAGGGAGACCACACTCTAGGCTAGGCACAGAAGCCTGGGCCACTGGACCTGAGCCTTCAGCTGCCTTTCTTACTGAATTCATCTCTGTGAGACCCAGCACCACAGTGGCTAACAGCTTGCTAAGAAGCCATTAGATGCCATTGAGGATGGATGGATGAATGAATGAATGATGAGAAAAAGAAAGAGTGAATTACAATGATGGGTGCTCAAGGAGCCATGAAAGATATTTTCCCAAGGAGAACTTGACCTTGAGAATTCCATTGACACAAGTCAGGCCTGGGATACCGGCAGGTCTGGAAAGCAGAAAGGTGATGTTCTATTCTGTGAGTGGGATGCTGAGGTGGGGTCCTATGCCCAGAGAACTTGGTCTTGTACCTGGAGTGGCTGTGTGGGGAAGAGCCCATGCCTGGGCTTTGCTTTGGATGCATGTTTTAAAGTTTGGCGAAAGTTGACAGATGGTAGAGGCATCACGCTCTACTTCTCTGCCCTGCACAGGCCTCCCTCCGACACAGCCTGGAAGCTCTTCAGAAGCCCTGGCCTAGCTTGACCATGACACCACAGCGAGCTCCCGATAGGTGAGTTCTCCCCATTTCCTTCTGCACATGTGCGACACAGACTCGGATCAAAGGGTCCCCAGGCCATGTTTTACAGGTAGGAGGTAGATATGAGATGTGAGACTTTGGAACAAAGCCACCCAAATGTCAAGGTGGGACCATTATTAGCATTTCTGCTGCTGTCTGTGTGTGGTAAGGAGATTGTCCTGGGAGGGGAGCTAAGAAGTCCATTCTGACTCAGACTGCCTCCACCTCTCAGTATAGTCCCAGAACACCCTGCAGGGCTAGGTGGTGGACTCAGTGAGTGAATAGTCCAGGATCCACCTGACCCAGACCCAGGAGGGATAAAATGGTGCCACAGCCATCTCCTGGAGCTCAGGCTCCTGCATTGTTCTGCTGGTCTTGCATCCACAGAGAGACTGACTGGGGCTGGATGCACCCAGTATGTTTGGCTGTGCTTGGCAGAAGAATCTATGTCCTGTCCATCAAATCATGCTTGAAGTCAGACTCAGACAGTCACCAGCCCCAGGCCTGCCCTCTCATGGGGCTGATATCTTCTGTTGCCTGCTGGACTCTGTTCTCTGTGTTGTGCATTGGGGCATAGAGATGAAAAAAAAAATCAGCATTACTTTCTAGAAGCTTCCATTGCCATTGAGAAAAAGGATATACAAGTAACTTCAGTGTACTAGAACCTGTGAAGCAGAAGGGCTCTGCTCTATCTGAACTGGCTACTGGCTATTTGCATATGACCCTTGAGCTAGGTTTTGAAGGATGAATAGAAGTTCACCGGGTACTTCTGACTGTGGGCAAAGAGTCCCCTGATGTCAAAGGCTAGCAAGCGCAAAGCTAGAGTGGCTTGAATTAGGGTACAAGAAGGAGGGTGAGTGGAAGTAAGTCCTGGGGGCGGGGGGCTGCAAGACTTGAGTGTACGACAGAGAGTCAGCTTATGTGTAACAGGGCAGGGAACAGCAGCTCTGTGGCTCTGAGAGGGGTTTGGGCTGAGAGCTGACAGGAGGTGCTGGTCTTAGGTCCCACTGAGTAGTCACAGGGGCTCTGGGAAGCATGTCCCTTGCTGGGTGTCTGTGGCCAGGCTTTCCTAGTATAGCAGCCCTTCAGAAAAGCTGCAGGCATGTCAGGCCCCATCCGGAGAGGGCAGCGGCTCTGGCCATTGGCTTGCCCTCCTCCGTCCACACTGGCTTGCTTCTCCTCTGGCCCCTGCAGCATCATCAGCCACCTGCCCAGGGCAAGACCTTTTAAGGGCTCAGTGCTGGTATTCAGTCCCTGCCCTCCTCCCTTCTCTGTATGACCCCCCGTGCAGTGAGTGACACTTCACAGTTTCGAAGCTTTACAGTTTCCTCTCTTGGCAGGGGTCCAGACACTGTCACAGCTGTCATCCTATTGTGGAGTAGAGAAAGCGAAGGCTCTGGAGCCAGAAGGAGCTGCCTCCAATACTGCCCTGCCCTCCCATGGGGAATAGTGAGATTAGGGCCAGCTCAGTCTCCCCAGTCACCGAACACCAGCCTTTTTAGATGGCTCCAGAATCCAACACAAGTGTGGTATGGACATTGGGTACAGGGCCCATCATGGGGCTGGCATTCACATGATGAGCTCTTGGCTGGCTCATGCCTCTGCTGTGGAGCAAGTGACTGGAAAGACCTGTGAGGTTCAGTTCCAAGGAATCATGAGCCATGAGCACGTGCACCTGAACAGGAAGTGATGCAATGATCTTGGCTTTCCTTGGCAAAATCCGCTTACCAGAACTCCAACCTAGGTGCCAGCAGACACTAGGATCTGGCCAACTATAGGATGCTGTGTAAACAAGGGAGTGACTGCTCTGTGAGAAAGAAGTCTGGGCACGCAGGAGAAACCAGGCAGGCTCAGAAGAGAGGTCGCAGTGTGCTGCCCAGGGCTGTGGCAGGGAAAGAACTCGAAGAGGGGAGGAAAGGAAGAAAGCTTGTGGGCTGGTGCTGGAGGGATGTATCAAGTGGCAGTTCAGTGGGGCTGTGGGAGGGAGCCGTGGGCTGCCCAGGCAGTAAACGGCACAGTACATTCAGATACATGAAAAGCTAGGCTGTGGAAGCCTCACACGCATCAGGGCATTGTTAGCTGGCATTTCTGATGACCTGCCGAGCATGGCTTCTGTCATCGAGGGGCCTGTGGGTTAAGAGGAATGGGGCTGAGTTCCTGAGGGCAGCAGGACAGCCTGGGGAGCAAGAGGCTGGAAATCTCCTGTGGCTTCCTCATAGGGTCACGGGCCTCGACTGCCCTCAGACTAAAGAGGCCTGGGGGCATTTCTGTGTTTGTGCCAAGAACGTGGAACGATACATGTGGGACTCAGGCCCTGTGCAGTCTGTGTTATGGAACCATAGAGATCCAAGATGGTGGATGCCCTAAGGAGACAATCTGAGTCAGGTGGTCACCACGGGGAGGATCATAGCTAGCTAGGGAATGCTGAGAACCAACTGTGTGCCAGATGCTGCCTCAGTTCTTTATGTGGGTATACGTCCTGCCTGAACAACTCTACAGAGCAGATCAAAATTGATGAGCAGAGAGGCTGTGCAACTAGCCCCAGCACACCCAGCCAGGAAGTTGGCTTAGGCAGGTTGAACACAAGCAGACTGACTCCAGATTGTCTGATCTACACTGCACTACAGCACAGGTCTGTCTACACTACAGGAACCTACAGAGTTCAAGCCCTGTGTGCCTGCCTGCCTTGCTATACCACACACTAGGAACTCAACAAAGACATGTTCGCTAAAACAAATGCATGTTAAACTGGGTCCTGAAAGAGTTAGCACAGAGCGTGGATGGGGGAGGTGTTCTTGAACAGAGAGGGAAGTTGAGGCAAAGGCCTCAGGTCAGAGACCCCGGGCCGCCAAACGGCATTGCTGGTCCTGGAGTCTGGAAGGCTGAGAGGGCTGGATGAGGGGATGTCTAAATGGAAGTCCTGCCACCAACCCTTCTCATCTAAGGACTAGTCCCTGTTGCCCTCCCCTCCCAGCCTCCTGTGCCCCACATCCACACCTGTCATTTCTTCCCTCAAAGGTTCCCACCGGCCAGATCATGAGATTCCACAGTTGAGGAAGGCGAGACCACTCAAAACCGCCTCCTCTCCCAGTATGGGAGCATACCCCTGTAATCATTCCAGCGCTAGGAGCAGAGGCAAGAGACTCAGTAGTTCAAGACTGACTCCGTGTGACTTCAAAAGAGAGAGAGGAGAGACTTTTCTAAGCAAGTGGTTGTTCTAGGTAGTTAGGACAGGCTTGGCCTTTTCTTTGGTTTGGTTTTGTTTTTGCACATTTCTTGGGCTGTCCTCTGAAAGCCAGGGTTGGGCTTTGGCTCTATGGTTTCCTAGTTGGGTATCCTTGGCAAATCAGCCCACCTTTCTGTGCCTCCACTTCTAGCTCCAAAGAGCAGAAATGGAAAGCGTTTATGGAAATGAGTAGGGTGGGGTTGGGGAGCCGCCACAGCACCAGGCTCAGGGGGAAGTTCCCGGGCTCACAGCCTCTATTTCTCTACAAAGCAAGGGGTGCAGATCTCTGATCTATAATATCAGTCCGCCACACAAACCCACACATACGTGCTAGGTCCTGGAGGCAGACACAACTTCATCATTTTGTATATTTAACATAAATATGCAGTTTAGACCCTCTTAATATGTTCCATTCCAGTTGCAAAGTAACACATATTCATAGAGAACATTTGGGGAAAATGACGGGAAAGGCTCATTTACCTACCTTTCCACATCCACAGTTGATAGAGTCAATTTCTTTCCCCTGTGTTTTTTCTTTCTTTCCCTTTCTTGTTTTCTCTTCCTCCTCCTCCTCCTCCTCCTCCTCCTCCTCCTCCTCCTCCTCCTCCTCCTCCTCCTCCTCCTCTTCCTCCTCTTTTTCTTGTTTTTTTTTTCCCTTGGGACAGAGTCTTTCTATGCAGATCAGGCTGGCCTCCACCTCACAGAGATCCACCTGCCTCTACTCCTAAGTACAAGAATGAAAGATGTATACTACTATGCCTACCTGCATGGTTTTGTTGTTGTTGTTGTTGTTGTTGCTGTCTTTTTATTACAGGTGACCAAGCTCAGGGTCTTATATATACTAGGCAAGGGCTCTATCAATGAGTTCCAGTCCTCTTTGCCTTTTTATTCTGAGGTAGGTTCTTGAACTCACTCTATAGCCCAGGTATACTCAAACTTTTCATCTTCCTACCTCAGATTCTGAAGTATTTTGGGTTATAGGCCTGCACTAACTGCCTCACATCTTCCACCTTCTTTCTGTACACTGACACATTTTTTTTTAAATGTGTGTGTGTGTGTGTGTGTGTGTCTGTCTGTCTGTCTGTCTGTCTTTGGACTAGAGTCTACATTCTGTTTTTTAACCAGACTGGGCTACTGAGCGAGGCCACTGGGCAGGGCTGGCTGTCCTTCTGTCCGGGAGAACTGGAGGCCATAGCTGCATGGCTCCCCCTTCTGCCCTGGTGGCTGGTTGGAGGCATCTGACCTTCGGATGTTCTGTGTCTCTGGCAGACACACAGTAGACACTAATTTTAGCTTGGCTTCTGGGGCCTGCTGACCATGGGGCCTGCATATAATGGACGCCTTATGTAGACAGCTGCCAGTAGCGCCGGAAGAAGTGTCCCGCCTTAAAATGTTTCTCGTCACCAGCCAGCACTCTGCTCTCGGAGAACAAGCCGGCTCCCTGTTCCTTCTCCCACCAGGAAGGGACTGTTGTTTGCGTTCATGGCCAGCAGTCTGCATGGAGGGCAGGCGGCCCACCCAGCACACACCGGGAGGCGGCTGAACAAACATAACCAGGGGCTCCAGTTTGAACAGAAACAACTCAGAGAGATGTCCCCAAAAACAGTTGGGCGTGCATGGAGAGCCTTTTAGAGCCACACCTCAATGCTTTGTCAAGTTTGTGCAAAGGGACAGTGTCATTCAGTGGCCCGCTTGTCCTGTGTCCTGCTGATGTATATTCAGCAGCGGAGTTTTCTTGTCACAGGTGAGGGACCTGAGGCTGAGACAG